ATGCATGCATGTCCGTGTGTGTGTGTGTGTGTGTGTGTGTGTGTGTGTGTGTGTGTGTGTGTGTGTGTGTGTGTAGGCTGTAATTATAGTGGCAACATGAAAAGGCTTTTGTAGCTGCTGAGCCCTGGGAAGACATGGCTATAAAAAGCAGAGCGACGCGGAGGGGTAGAGGTGGAGGAGGATGAGGATGCATTTGGGGAGTGGGGGGGAGAGGGGAAAAGAGGTAAGGAGAGGACGGGAGGAGGATGAGACCAAAATAACACAACAATCGACATGCATTGCATCTCCCCATAGATCTGTTACTAATAACACACACGTTTATCATGTATGCATTAACTTTTAGTCGTCACGAGCACCTGATCCATATGCGAGGAGCMCAAACATGCAGTGATTCTTTTGGATTGGAGATGAAAACCCGAGTGAAATCCCTTTGGAGGGATAAAAGAGAGGAAAACAGGCGAGTGTCTCACTATCCGTGATCTATTTCTGGAATTCTCTGTGGACTGGAGAGGCACCCGTGCGCACACACATACACACACACACACACACTCACACACGCGCACACACACTTAATTAGCTGCGAAGCCGGAGGATGCATTTTGGTGCTGATTATGTATTCGTCTCACACCACCTTGCATGAATGGTTGCACCAGTCCCTGTGAGGACTTGAAACATAACATTTGGTCCTATTGAAACYAATTTCTCCTTATAACCATTTATTATCAAAATCCTGCGTTATAGGGAGCCAGACACTTTGCTAGTACATGGTGTACAATACAATATAATTCAATATAAAGTAGAATTACAATCTAATACAAATTAGGCATGGGCAGCATTCTTTGAATATTTAACATCCACTAAAATGGGTAAATATGAAGGACTGTTGCAACTTGTAATAGCTGTTCTGTACTTTTTGTATTTTTTTATTTTTACACAGGCAGCTGGTAGTGATTGTTGTTACCTTAGCCAGAAGCTAAGGACAATGAGCTGCAACTGCTGGGAAACCAGTTAGCGACTCAGAATTACAGGAAAGTTGTGAGAAAATGTATTCCTTTTAAGTTGCAGTTTAAACTTGAGCTGCATGATACATTGAGCATTGTCATTGCAACGTAAGTGTGCACTATAGTCCTATTTCAGGTCCTGCACAGTAGGAGGCAAATTAAAACAACATGTAATCTAGGGACTAAACCACTAAACTGTAAGTCATTGCACTAAACTCTAAGTCACTGCACTAAACCCTAAGTCATTGCACTAAACCGTAAGTCATTGCACTAAAC